AAAACTGTTTGTCCAGGGCTGGAAGGGGTTTTGTTGAGGTTTTCGGACATGTAGAAGAATGGAGCGAAAAAAAAAATGCTTCAAAGTGTATCAGTTTTGTGGAAGGAAGGCGGGTGGGGGCCCCTGGGAAAGGGTTGGGGGGAGGGTAAAGGGATTTTTTGTGTGCGGGGGTTTTGGATTTCCATAGGCGGCGGAGCGTTTTTGATGGGAGGAATGGAGACGAATGGTTTTTTAATACTTACGTCTTTTGGATGTGGCAAAGTAACTTTTATAAGGGGGTTCGGGGAAACCGGCAGCCAGACTTGATCCTGAGAGGGGAAGTACAGTGCCTCACTCTGAGGGGGGTGTAAGTTGCATTTTAAAAAACTGTAGTGAAAAGCACCCTCTGGCAAGACAGTGAAAAAGTGAATGTGGTGAAAGTTTTTTTTTTTTGGGCCACCCTCCTTTGGGGGGAATCGGCCAGTGTGAAAATAAAAATAAAAAAATATAAATACATGCATGTTGTAAGGGGCACAAAAAAATCCGGGAAAAAAGGGGGCTAAAACCCCCTTCTTATATATTTTTTTGTGTAAAAGGAGAAACTTTCGTTTTTCCTTTGGGGCCCCTGCCCGGGGGACAGGGCCGATGTTAAAAGAAATAAAGAAATAAATTAAATGGTAGACACAACCACCGCCCAGGGAGGTAAACCATCCGCCAAGTGAGTGTAAAACAAAAGCCGTAATTGTTTTACATCATGGAGATTGCGGGTGTTTTTTTCTCTCTCTAAACAACAAGATAAATTTCAGGTACGTTTTTGTTATTTCCCCACTTTTACTCATGTCACACTACACGTCATGTAAAAGCATTTATAACAACCCCTCGGTTTTCTTCTTTTTTTCTTACAAGTTCTTTTTTTCTTGTTTATTTCCCTTATCTCCAGGGGAAGGGAACAGATTTTTTTCTCCGTGAGCTAGTTGTCAAGGGGTGACAAAAATCCCAGGAGCAAGGGCTAGAAACCCCCTTCTGTAGTTTTAAACCAAATCAAAAAGGAAAACTTTTTTTTTTCCTTCTGGGTCACCCTCCCCTGTGGATAGGGCCATTTGTTGAGAGAGATATACAAAAAAATTTGAGGTAGAGGAGGGTAGACAGAAACTGCCCAGGACATACTACCATCCTGCCAAGTGATGTAGACAAGCCTGAATTGTTTTCATGAGGAGGTTCGATGACTTTTTCTGTCACTAAACTAAAAGATTGAATTTAGATACATTTTTGCTACTTCTACTTACACTTGGGTCACACACACATTATGACGGGCAAACATCTTTTCACAGCTTATCGGGGTATCACCCGGCATAATGCCGGGGAAAAAAAAAGGCCTACTTACGGGAAAGGGCCTTTTTTTCGTCAGTCATATGCCGGGTATACCGTTACAAAACACACGGCCTGCCACCACACTCCACATGACTCCTCAGGCTCACGTATTTCCCTGATAAGGGAAAGTGTTTGCATTTTTGCCTCTCATCCGCCCCATCCTTTGTCCGGTGTTCCCCTTTTTTTTGGGGCTATACATGTTTGATTTGGGTAAAAGGAGTCTTTAACACCGAAACTTGCACAAACATAGGCTTCACAAAACTGGCATCAGACAAAAGAAACATGAGAATATTGGGGTGTGTGAATGCTCAGTAAAAACGCGGTGGGGTGTGAGTTACCGCTCCAAACCTCGCCTGGCCCCTCGACAAGACATTGTTCGACCTTAACGTGTTAACCCCTGACGTTTCGGTCGAATAATTCTTATGAGCCCCCGGTTTTTACGTATATATACAGTCAAAAATTCTACGTTTTAAATCAAGAGAGAAAACTGTATCCCATGTAGAGAATTTGTCTGTGTGATCATGTGAAACCCAAAAAAAAAAATCCTGCAGCATGCGTGCAAATGAAAAAAAAAACTCCATCGCTTTTTTTGGGGGGGGGGTTAAAATGCTGACTGTATGGTGTATTTTCGAAGTATTTATGGTTGTATTCTCGTTTTCTTGTCCATTAGGGAAATAAAAAAAATTATAGAAATAGGGTGATTCTGATTTTTTACTTGAAAAAAACCTTGAATGGGGCTCAAATTAGGGAAAAAGTTTTGATTTTTTTCCGATTTCAAGAGTAAACAAAAGAACATTGTCCAATAAATTCCAAAACCCAGCCATTCTAATATGCCGTCACAAAAGGTTGACATTTTTTTATAAAATTATTACAAAATTTTCAGTAGTCGCATAAAAAATCTTCTTTTTTTTTTTGAATAAAAAATTTAAATAAAAGCAAGGTAATATCAAGGGCCTGGAGAGTGACGATGAACAAAAAATGTTATTTTAAGCCAGGAATTCCATTTTTCATTCTGGCCCTATTTGAAATTGGCATTTTTTTAATTGCATGAAATTCCAAATTTCAAAAATCTGACCACATTATTTGGGATTTTAAATCGGTAAAAGGCATTTCTTGTACCCAAACGATAGAACAAAAGGGGTTCTAAAAAATAGTTGAGTTTGGTCAACGGAACAATGGGAAATTTGCTGAAAATAGGGGTCAAGGGGGCAAAATCGCAGATTCGTAAATGTCCCCAGAGGGCCAAAATTCATACATGTAATTCCATAAGTTTTCCATCAAATTTCGTTCTTTTGATGTCTTACCATCAGAAAAGATTTTCTACATTTTTTTTTTTTTCGAAAAATTTTCAACACCAGGAGACACCTCAGGATTTGGGGTTTTGACAGTCAAGGGGTTAAAGCAGCAGTTAGAGAGTACACCTAAGATAATTGCTAGAGAACTGAAAGAAGAGAACCCACTTCTTCTCTAAGAGGTGTCTGTAAGAACTGTTAACAGACATGTGTAAGAACCGGGCTACAGTAGTCACCGCCATGTTAAGAAACCAATCCTCTCCAAGCCACAGAAGAAACATAGGCTGGATCATGCAAAGAAATATCTTCACTGGAATCCTCAACAGTGGTCTGAAATACTTCAGAGTGATGAAGCAACCTTCACCGTCACCTGTAACCATGGGGACATATGTACCAGCCAGAGGTAGTAACTCGCTAGACCCACGCTACACCTGTGGGACCACCAAACACCCAAACTCGCTCATGGTTTGGGGAGTGTTTCAGTGCTCAGAGTGTTGGTGAACTTATTGTGCTTTCCAAAAACCAGTATATGAACCAGTATAATTACCTGAGTTATTGTGTGACGGTTTACCTGAGGTGTTTGACAATGTGGGGCTACGTTTTTATGCAGGATGGTGCACCGTGTCATACCACCAAATCTGTAGTTCAGCGGCTTAAGGACTGTGAAGTGAGGTTCTTTAATGACTGTGCTAGGCAATTTCCCAGACCTAAACCCTATTGAGAACCTCTGGTCAATAGTGAAACGAAGTTTACTGGGCAAGGATATCAGTTCCATCCCACGGCTGGAGGCATGGAATAATATACCTCCCCCAAACCCTCAAGAAATTTGTGAGTCTTCCTACATGGCTGAGGGACATGATTAACCATAAAGGTGCAGCACCAAGTATTAAAACCTCAGTGTGCAATATATATATTTTAATCTTTCAGTATGTGTCTGTGTTTTGGTACGTGTGTGGGGGAGGGGCAGCATAGTGCCATGACTAGCACTGTACATACATACCCCTCTGGGTTTTCTTCTATTTTCTCATTAGTCCTTTTTCTTTTTTTGTTTATTTCTACTTATCTCCATGGGGAAGTGGAACAGAATTCTTCCTCCATAAGCCATGGGTGTCGTAGGAGGCGACTAAAATGCCGGAGTAAGGGGCTAGTACCCCTTCTTCTGTATATATTACTGAAGTTAAAAAGAGAAGCTTTTGGTTTACTTTTTGGCCCACCCTACCTTGGTAGGTTATGGTCAGTGTGTTCATAGAAAAGAGATACAAATATATTTGATACAATGGGGTAACCATGTAATGTGAGAGGTAACTGCACCATCACCTAAAAGTCCCCATTACCTGAGTAGTTTCCAAAATATGTACTGCTTATAAAAATATAACTTTTGGGACTCTATTTACCAGTCAAATAGAAGTACATATTTTGGAAAATACTCAGATAATGGGCACTATTAGATGGTAGTGCAATTACTCCCTCATGTGGTGCAACTGCTCCACTGAATAGTACTGAACAACTATTACTAACCTTGTCATTGTATAAAACATCTGAACGATCAACAATATTAGTCTTGGTAACAGGAACTGATTCTCCGGTAAGCATGGACTCATTAACGATACAGTTGCCCTTGAGGAGAACAGCATCACATTGCATCATGCATCCTTGGGGGGTACACATAAAATCCCCAAACAAGTTTTCTGTGGATAGTGTCTACCGGGTCATTATCCTCACCACCTGAGGAGATAAAATTTTAACTACTTAATGACTGCATCACTGAAAAACATACTCAAAATTATAACGAAAAGACTGCATCACTAGACCAATTTACTTACATAAATCAGTAGGAATTTTTTTTTAAAAACGCAAAAAACAAGTAAGACCAACCTAAAGGGAAACTGCCTTTCAATAAAAGATTAAACAGAACTTGAAAATTTTAAAGTTCGGGGTTGAACTCAAAGTTACTTATAAATAAACACCAAGACTTTTTTTTTGGGGTAGCAAATGTGCCCCTAAAAAAAACTTTAAATTTTTTGAGTCATCACTGACATCTCATTAGGTACATAAACACTTACCATCTAACAGCAGAAATTTCCCTCAACCATGCTTTAAACTCTTTGAAGGGGGGTCGGTTTTTTACAGTTTGAACCACGCCTGAAATTTTAATCCCATGGCCAGCTCACTCAGATGCGTGAAATAACTTGGGCCCTAATTATAGAAAGGGTCCTGCAAAGTGTGCACCTATAAAAAAAAATTCTTACAGCAAGCAATGCAAAAAGGAAAAAACTAAACTGTTTTTTTCTGGTTTAAAATAGCAACTTTTTATGTATGTTCATGGGGCATGCAAAGAGTACAAACCTTTATTGGGCGCATGACACACCCTCATTTACAGGCAATTTTCCCCCCCCAACCACGAACCGGGTTGCTAAATTATGATGGGGCCCCGTCGTTCAACTAGTACCAGGTTCAGCCAATAAGAGAGGGCTTTGGCAATCGCAGAGGTTATTGGGAACCCCGCTCTCCTGTCTGCAATTTTCATTCCCATCTAACGGGTTGAAGCAGGGTCTGCTACTTGTGGCTTCTATTCTGCCTTTGCTTACTGGAGGCACTAACTTATCACTGACATAGTGTAAATATGCTGTTCTAAATTGGGAAGGAAATATAATTTAAACTTTTTCTGTTTGGGGGGTTTTTTTTGCCCCCCTTACACCCGGGATAACGGACTTTTGGTTTCCGGGGTTGAAATAGGGGTAGCCTGTCCGAAGCGGACGGGATTAGAAAACGTTTGAGCTTAGGTGAAGCTCATACGGGAACATTGTGCGCTTCTGTCTGGTTTTGCATTAGCTTTGCCTACGCTTTAGAATTTTGCGTGTCTTTGTATGTGTGATCGTTAAACATCTCGCACTAGCTTTTCGGTGTGCTCGCTTCCTACGGTCAATCTTCTAAAACATTTACTTCGGCTTTGTTTTACAAATTTTCGGTCTTTTTCTACCGTCGGTGGGGGAAATTTTGCATCATTTTGCTTTATCGTTTTCTGCAATCGACTGTCATATTTTTAAAAAGCGTGTTCTAAAATTTAACTTTTACTTGGGTATTCTGCAATCGACTGTGCATAGCGAATAACTTATCCACCAAATGAGTCAGACTTCTGGTGCCCGCATAACTTTGCATAACCTACCTAAAGTCCCCGCGTTGTTGGCAAATTACTCGTTCCTTTGGCATTAAATAAAAAACGCACCTCACGCTGTGCAACTGTGTTCACGATTCGACAAACTTATAAAGAAAAGAGCACATCAGACTCCTCCCTCAGGGGAGCATGCAAAAACTACAAGTCTCGCGGGAGAAATGTACACCAGGGAGAAAAAGGGTCTATAGTGCAGCGGGTTTTGTCCAGGGAATCACGTCTTTTGGCACTTGAGCTGGAAAAAAATCATCTTGACAAAACAGGAACAGGAGCTTCGCAAGGAAGAATTTGATAGGGAAAGAAAAGGAGGCATTTTTCACATTTGTAAATATTTTAGTTAAAAAAGCATACAGCTTTTTCCCCGTTTCAATGAGGCCGAACCAGAAAAAATTTTAAAAGCTTTCAAAAATCGGGCTCGAGCCTTGGGTGCCGGAACAGCTTGGGCACTTTGGTTTTCATACAGCATTTTTGGGTAAGGCACGGGAATTTACGTCAGATTAAATGACGCAAAATTTTCTGATTATCAAGTAGTGAAGACCACATTTGGGACTATACTGTTCCCACCAAATACCGAACTTTTTAAATTAAGCGGTGGCAGCTTGGTCAATCCCATGACGTTGTGAGACAGCAAACCAAAGTTTTTCCCAGCTGGAAAAAGCAAGTGGTGTCTACCTTTGGGGAGCGGGTAAAGCTTATTCTGATTATAACCTCTGAGTCTGGGGGACCAGGGGTTCGAGTCTTTCGCAGATCGTCAAAAACCACTGCATTGGAGCGCCGGGTTGGCTGATACCTTCGAAAAACCCCCCTTGTCCGACGGCCCCCGCCCTTTTTTTTCACACCCGGCATGAGCAAGATCTCCCCTTTGGGAGAATGAAGTGCCACCGGGGGGAAAACTCTACCACCAACAAAGTCACCTGTGACCACGCTCCAACAAAGGTCCCCCTGGGGAGAGGCAAACTACTCTGGTGCCTCGACAACATACCAAGAGACACCACCAGAAAACCCATTTGCAACGCAGCAGGAGTAAAGGCAACCCTTCGTCTGTTCCTCTGCAACAAAGTAGGTCACACCCGCCCAAACTGCCCCCAAAACCCCCAACCCATTGAGAAAATCCTAATATCCCTAGTAACATGCCCCCTAGAGAAAAAAAAAGGTAGGGCCCCTTTTTTATTGCACAGTCTTTTTCCCTCAGGAAAACTCAGAAAAAACCAAAGTAAAGACCTTTAGAATACGGGAGCAATTGCCACTTGAAAGAGAAGGGAATATTCCCCCTTTCAGATAACACTTCCTTGAATTCCTCTGTTTTTTTGGAACTTTGGGAGCTATATATTCTTTTCCCTTTTGAAAAAAATTTATGTACAGTGAAAAATTTTACACTGGTACTTGACTTAGGTGTCTCAAAAGATTTCCATGAAAGAGCCAGTTATTACGGGGTAAAACATCATACTTTTATTTTTCGTGTCCTGAACCATAAGATTAATTCTTCTCCGTGTTGCCATAACTGGGGAAAACACCCAAGGGTTTGTCTGAAGAATTTGACCTATCCTTTGGGACGACTCCGATCTGGGAAATAGCCACTTTTTTTATGAGGCAACCGGCCAGCCTCGTAAATCAAGTGAACAGACCCCATCAACCCTTCCTTTTCCCCGGTTCGGGTTTTCCAATTCCTGTTTCCATCCCGAGGACTGTCCTTCCCGGGGAAACAACAAAGGACCCCTTTAAAATTCGCTTTTGAGGCACCATGGGTAAATCCTTTTTGGGGTCACCCGGGTCAATTGAATTAAAAAAGATTTTTTGATATGACGAGACTGTAAGGAGATAAGGGCACTTTGTATGACAGGTTAGGGGTTCCAAACCCTTTTTAGACCTCAAATTTTAAAATAGTCAAAATACGTCATTGGGAGGTCATTTTGGAATTTCAAAACCCGTATAAATCCAAAAGAATTTTTTTTGGGCCAAAAAAAGAAAATTTAAAATCATATTTGGTTTCCGAGAATGCAGCAATAGGGAAACCTGGACATTCCATTAAACCTGCACCCCTCCAACCTATACCCCTGATGAAACCTTTTTCAGATTTTAAATTTTAGATTTGTAGGTCCACTACCCAGGGCAAAGTCGGGAAAAACAATATTTATTTACGATTATGGATAAAGTAACCAAAATTTCCCAAACAATTCCCCTGCATAGTATTTAAAACAAAGCATTCTCAAAGCTTTAACAAAATTTTTATCTTGTTTTGGGGATTTCCCAAAAATATTTAAAGTGATCAAGGGAATAACTTCACTGCCAAAAACATTTAGGGAAGTATTAACTAGGTTGGATAAACCACAATTTTCCACGCCTATCATCCCATCCCAAAAGGGGCCGGGATTATCCATTAAAAAAAAATGATGAAATTTTTTCATGCACTTTCCTCAACTGGGATAAACACACCTTTTTTGCTGTTTTCCCTACGAGATGGTGCAAAGTCTACAGGGATGTCTGTTTGACTGATCTTTGCGCACAATGACGAGGTCCTCTTCGGTCTCAAAAAAGGAGGATGGGAAAGACGTTTGCTCAAAACCTACAACCCGTTTCAAGGTTCAGGTGACTCATTTGCCCCGTGGCCCCGCTCTCCTCATAACACATGACCTTCCAAAAGATCCAACACCCGAAACCCCTCTTTTCTGACACACGACTTATGTCATCTCTCCCCTAACTTTCCACCCCCCACCCTTGGAATGAGAGCTGATCAAAAAAATCGACTTTGGGTACCCAATAAACTTACGCTTAAACTGACAAAAACCCACTATTATATGTTTTGGGACAGAGCAGGAATGCACAAATTAACATGATTGCAACTCTAATTACCAGAAAAAATGGGGCAAAAACCTAGCTTTTACCTTTACAAAAACCGAATTTCAGCACCAATCCCGCATATAAACCAAAAAAATACCAAAACGGGTTTGGGTCCTCCCAAAATCTACACGTGCGCAAAAAGCCCTTTTCAAAAACCCATAAACTCACTTATTTTCCATACCTCACCTATGCATTTTTGCTAGGAACAAATGCAGCAACACACCTAAAGCCATTTAAAAACCCAACAAAAACTGCAGTGAATAAAATAAAACCCATCCTGCAAAACACCCCCCCCCTCTCAAGACCTAAACTTTCTCCCGTTCTACTCCCACTTATACGTGCAAACAATCTACAGGCCTTAAACTCTAAATCAATTTGACCTAAAAAAACCCTTTTTTGATATTGGACGAACCCACAGGATAACACCAACACAAACATCTCTACACATTCCCCCCCTGCCCACAAACCTTTAAAAAATTCAATGTATGCAAAGCCCCAAAATCTGAATCCCCACCTAGAATCTAGAACGCAGACACATTTTCCCTTCAAAACTACCTTAAAAAAATCTTAACTCCCTATACACCCCATCAACTAACACACAATACCACCTGGGTTCACACTTACACCACTCACCATTTGACCA